AGTAGGTTACTGTACACTATGTACAACCTGTACAGTATATAAGGTATTTTAAAGATGGGTGCTTATCTAATCCTAACATGATCGACGCCTAGGAAGAATGTCCAAACAACTTCCTCCGGCCCGGGAATCGAACCCGTGACTTCTTGCTTGCGAGGCAAGAGCGGTATCTTAGTTAAACGGTTAGGTTATGTCTGGGGTTAGGTCAAGTCATGTTAGGTCAGGTTACGCTAAAAACAAGTGGGATTCGTCCAAGTAGGATGTAATCGTCCAACCATCCTGTATCTTTGGGTTTGTAAAAAGTGTACGGTTTACAGATGCGGTTATCACTATTGTCACGTTTTGCCTGGGTTTGCCATGCCCTTTAATTAAAAGATACGAGAGATCTTGAATAACGTATGCGAGGTTGCGGCGTTGTGGTGGTTTTTACCTAATTATTCGATGGTCGAGGACTTGGTAACAAGGTACAGTGTAGCGACATCGTTCATTTTAATGAAACACTTGTAAATGTTCATATATTTTTAGATTTTTCACTCGCCTTCGGCGTTTTTGTTTAGATATGCTATCGAGTTTATTCTGGGTAGCATTTCTTTGCCTGTTGTCATGCTTAGATAACCGGGAGCCAGTTAGAGTGGAATATACAAATAACTTCTGTAAGAGTCTGCGATACTTACGTCACAGTGGGTAGTACAGTATTGTGGAAAGAGCACCACACTCCACCTTAGTCTCATCATATCAACTTTTTCATATACAACTTCCTTTCTATAGACTGTTTGCACGGTATCCGAAACCTATAAAGTGAAAATGAAAACAATGATGAAGGAAAAGGGATTAGAGTGTACTGTACGAGTAGATATGTGCCAGACAGCGGGAAGTAGAGCGTACAAGTTGACCAGGGGGGGCAAGACATAGAGGTGGAGGCTCTGATGGCAGTGGAGGGAGGGCAAGAAGGGCAGGAGGGCAAGAGGTTGGGCCTCATATGACCGTCTCGACCCAGTCCCCAACACAGCGTCAGAAACCAAGCACGCTGACACTGATAGATCATCATCCAGATACTCTTAAAAACTCTATTGTCACTAAAGTATTATTTTAAAAACTGTGTACTTCCCCATTTATGATATACTCCCTTTAATCACCGTAAAATATAATATAAACATGCGAATTCGATAAAAAAACCAAGATCTATCCTGATAACTAGTATGTGGTTCGCACGTAGCCGAGCCCTGGCTTTCATCACAGTGGACGCCGGATAAAAAGTGTTGTTTTTGTTTGTAAGGTTCAAAATGGATCGTCTTTCAGGCACTTCTCGGAACTTACGCCACTGCCCTGAGAAAAAGTAGGCCACTGTGAATAAGCCACTTGGGAGGTTTATCTCTACGTGTCTATATGTTGATACTTAAGAGCTGGAAGAGTTAGGCCCCCCTGCCCTTCTTGCCCTCCCCCCCCTGCCAACAGAGCCTCCCCCTCTTTGTCTTGCCCCCCCCCCCCCCTGGTCAACTTGTACGCTCTACTTCCCGCTGTCTGGCACATATCTACTCGTACAGTACACTCTAATCCCTTTTCCTTCATCATTGTTTTCATTTTCACTTTATAGGTTTCGGATACCGTGCAAACAGTCTATAGAAAGGAAGTTGTATATGAAAAAGTTGATATGATGAGACTAAGGTGGAGTGTGGTGCTCTTTCCACAATACTGTACTACCCACTGTGACGTAAGTATCGCAGACTCTTACAGAAGTTATTTGTATATTCCACTCTAACTGGCTCCCGGTTATCTAAGCATGACAACAGGCAAAGAAATGCTACCCAGAATAAACTCGATAGCATATCTAAACAAAAACGCCGAAGGCGAGTGAAAAATCTAAAAATATATGAACATTTACAAGTGTTTCATTAAAATGAACGATGTCGCTACACTGTACCTTGTTACCAAGTCCTCGACCATCGAATAATTAGGTAAAAACCACCACAACGCCGCAACCTCGCATACGTTATTCAAGATCTCTCGTATCTTTTAATTAAAGGGCATGGCAAACCCAGGCAAAACGTGACAATAGTGATAACCGCATCTGTAAACCGTACACTTTTTACAAACCCAAAGATACAGGATGGTTGGACGATTACATCCTACTTGGACGAATCCCACTTGTTTTTAGCGTAACCTGACCTAACATGACTTGACCTAACCCCAGACATAACCTAACCGTTTAACTAAGATACCGCTCTTGCCTCGCAAGCAAGAAGTCACGGGTTCGATTCCCGGGCCGGAGGAAGTTGTTTGGACATTACTTCCAGTTTACGGTCCCTTTCCTAGCAGTAATGTAGGTACCTGTTGTAAATCGAAAGTTGCGAATTCGTATTCAGGGATAAGTTGTTGGAGCTTCCAATAACTTGCTTAGACATAAACCATTGACTCTTCAGGCTTCTACGCCCTTAACTCATGAGACATAAGGCAAGCATGAACTTAGCATGCTTCCCTGTTGGGCGCTGTAAACGCTTCTGCGCTTCACCTTACACAAGGATGTAGGGGGGGGGTGGCCCACCCCCCCAAAAAACTAAGATAATAAAAAAATAGCATAAAACAGACGATTGTCCAAGAAGCGTGTGTAGCCCTGTAACACTGAAGCAAGCCACAGTCTGTGAACATTCCTGTATATACTGTTCTATTTCCCCCCCAAAAAAATTATACAAAGTATGCATAAATGTCCACGGTTAACTTAATTATACAGTACACATAAAATGTAAAAAAATAAATGTCTAGTTCAATGATAAATGGTGTCTGCTATTACGGTGTTGTTAGGAAATGGCTCCGTGACACAGACCAACACAACTAGACATATGGGATGAGATACGTGATAAAGAGTTCATGCACCACTCATATATATATATATATATATATATATATATATATATATATATATATATATATATATATATATATATATATATATATATATATATATTACCCTACAGGCGTGAAAAGTACCTAATAGGATGATTCCTATCTGGACGGTCGTCTGGTTTATACGATTTACCTTACATAACCAAGCCTAACTAGCTTAATCGTCTAAGTTGGATTGCCCAAATCAACTGACCACCATAATGCAGCAGAGGCGGATCCAGTATTGTATTCAGGTGTTTCTGTATAGTAAAATTTAACTGCTATTGACCTCATAATATATCCTAATATAATGTGCACATGGCTTCAAAATGTCCAGGATATTGGTCAGATTTCAAAATTGTTCCTCCGAGGAAGTGTCCATGTCTGAAAAGCTGTTCAGGGAGAAACTCGCCACCATATTACGAAATTTGCAAATCACCATTTCTTAAAATCACCAAAATAATATTACGAAATTTAGTCAGATTGTTAACGTCTATTACCATCAGCTATTTAGAAATGTGTATATGTGTGTATGGAACGACAGGAAACGATGGGACACGCTGACCAAGTGACCATTGTGCGCGAGGGTTTAGCCTACATGAGGTAACCATTATCATTTCTTCTATAAAATAATTTTCTCAAGCTCTCGGTTGACGTGTGTTGTCAAGTATTGTACAGTATAAAAATTACCCAAAAGTTTGCTCACCTGCAGTCTGACACCTTTTTCTCTTCCACAGAGTAATGAATAAACTTGCCGAGCGTAGTTATTTGTAAAGTTTTCCTTGACAGTCTTCGCTCTTGTTGGTTCCACACTGATCAAACCTAATCCATTCTGACGTCACTAGATCCAAGGTTCACTTTCCATTCTGCTCTCTAATATTAAGCACTTCACACAACTGTTGTTTCAGCCTGTCACTGTCAGGAGGTTTAGCCACACTCCCTGGTGATACTGGTCTTACCATATTGTATAACACACAAAGTTAAGAGTAGGGGAGGGTAAACACAGGTGCACAAACTCGACAGAATAAACCAAGGAATATCTGTTAAGGAAGAGTCACTTCCATAATATGATCCCTAAAGACAGTTCAGTGGTTAACTACCAAAGATCAAAGGAGAACGAATAGAAAATGTTTTCGGTTGACTGAAGTATTTCATTGGTCACAGAAAACGGTACTAGCTTATTTAAATTGGGCTAGTGTCCTTTCCTTCGTTCTTCTGAATTGTCTTAGCATAAATTAATTCAGCAAAAATGTTCTTTTAGTTTTAAAAATATTCATATAGAATTACAATGGAATTAACTAATAATGGGTGAAGAATAACATTGTTGATCTCTATTGTTAACAACAACAAATATAAATCCGTATATTAAAAAATAGTTTTGAAAAATTCATTCCAACTAACAATATACAAAAATAAGGCAGACGGCAGATTGGAGAGCACTTTGAATCACATACAATTTCATAAAAGAACCAGCAAGCTAGTGCGAGCAGGAGCATGGATGTCCTTCCGGGCAACAGGGGCACTACAAATGGTGGTGATAGTGGAGTTACAGGCGCGGTTCACAGGGGCCTGAGGCACAGATCAACTTGGGGCCCCCTACCCTCAAGATATATATATATATATATATATATATATATATATATATATATATATATATATATATATATATATATATATATATATATATATATATATATATATATATATATATAAATAAAACACATTCAATTTTCATAAGAGACAGAAAATTGAGACATTGCTAGGACATCGTTGAACGAAGTTCATGTTTTATATGCTTCAACTTCGAGAATGTTTGGATTTGGGGGCCCCTTAGAGTCTGGGGGCCTGAGGCCAGTGCCTCATGGTTAATCCGGCACTGGGCGCGTACAGTGTGTAACCTCTGGGGTTAATATTGAGAAAGATAAGGCACATGCAAGACACACACAACCAAAAGATGGAAACCTATGTCACACAATAACATATCTATGCAGTAATGCAGGCCCTGGTGGTCCATAACTTGCATTATTGGGCAACTCCACTGTACGTATTTATGACTAATTAATTGTACGGATAAGTTTTTATGATAGCACAGTTAATAAAAGTCTTGGTAATGAAACTCTTAATTATTATCACATTTTATTTTAGTACTCATCTGTATTATATTTGCATATCAAGAATATAAAAATTAAATTACAAATTTTCCAATGAATTACTTTGCATGCATCCTTATGAATAAAAACAAGTAATGCTATGTATCCAACAGTGCTCAAACAATATACATAAACAGATTCTTCGTATCAACAAGATCCACTTTGGAGTATTTGAATTACCTTACTATAATATTCTAGGCTTGTATGGCCATATTAATTTCGCAAATTAGTCTTTTACAAGCACATTTAAACACGAACAGATCAACTGTCACTTATCACCCTGTAACACTGCTACAAGGCAATCCAATGGTAACTTATAACATCTTGAGAATTATTAATCTAAATCACCATTACTCACCATATAGTTTGAGATTTATAAACTGTGGAGTAGGTAAGTTTGCCAATAATTAATCTAACTTACAGGATATTCATAGAAAAATTCCTTCTAGTGCTTCAGAAAATCATCTTAAGACCTATGAACTCACTACACTTGAAAATCACACAAGTTATAAATTACTGTATGAGAAAATACCGGTAAACTACAGCCTCATATAAGCCTTAAAGGAAAAGGAAATAATTCAAGTCTAAGAGGAAGCATATGAAAAATGTCACATCATCGTAAGTTTCTATAATATCACTAATGCATCAAGTGTTTTAAAGACACTGGCTTAAACTAAAGGTGCTATCACAGCATATTTACAAATAGTATTCACTACCATACTTTATCCCCATGTAAGTCATGCCTATAGTTGCTTTCTCACACAAAATATACTTCAACGACAGATTACTTCATGGACCCCAAAACAGACTGTATCTCACTTGGACCAGTCCTTCATAACGTGAAGTTAAACTGAAATTCTTTCCGTGCGCTGTAGTGATAAATTTACTACACAAAAAATTGCCATACATTTGGTTTAGTGTGCCATTAATGCCATTTACGAAGGAACATTAGCTAAAATTTTTTAAATAGTCGAGGACTCAAGTAATCCCACTCAATACAAATATTATTGTGCAGACTTTTTCACTCAATTCAGGAAAATAGCTGCAGTGAATACTACAATGGTTAAGATCTTCACCTCATTGTTATTTCACTTGATAATAAAGGTAAATGATAGTCAGCAATTGTATAAGAATTATGGGAAATTCATTACTTTTGAGGCCCTGCAATAAAGATTTTAAATCCCTTTGACATTTACTGTGTGATTAATAAATCTACATACAACTGAATATTGGCCGTAGATAAATCCTTTTCAAACAAAACTATTATCATATTCAACTGAAACAAGACACTTATGTAAGGAGTAAAAAGCTACAAGTGACTAAGATGCACTCCAATCTATTATCTGGTAACAGTCAGTAAGTGAGCAACACTTTTTGACAATGGAAAATTATACTTGGAGGTTCTCTTGATAATTGGTAACCCAATTTCATATTGTACTGTAAATTACTTACAGAGCACAAAGTAAATCTAAGTTACTAAACAAAATGGTCCTCTCCAATTACAGTATACAGTATATAAAAAAAGGGCTGATTCTTACATACATCAGAAGCCAATAACCACACATCTAATAAGAATCACCATTTAACCGGTCTGTTTCAAGTCAGCCAACTATACTAAGCTGGTACAATGTCAGAGTGCAATACAGCACTGTAATAATATTGACCCCTTACCTTATGAGGGGACTTAAGTAAACACAGATATATTTCTATATAAGCCATTAAATAACTTGATTTAAGCAACCCCTTTATCCTTTCAAAATATATATTATCTATATAACTTGATAACAATCCAATAATCATATCCAAGTAATCTCATTGCAGTGGAAGCATTTCTACATTGGCTTTCATGCAGGTGCAATCACAGACAACACTGTTACTTACAATATATAACTTGACCAATTATAAATAGCCAGCACAGCATGTACAGCGTGTGAGTGTACTTGTCGAGTTTTTGAAAGTTTGTGATGGTTGATAAAGCTTTGTAAACTCATCATATAAATCCAATAACACTGCAAATTAATATTATCTCATTTAAGAGAAACTACAAGAGTAATTTTTTTTGTTTTTATACACCGAGGTATGATCTTACATAATGCCTAAGTATATATAAGAAAAACATGCTGACACAGAGACAGGCTGAAATATATAGAAGCACTGTACTCACAAATGTCCCATGATTCTAACTGACGGGATCATAACTTATCAAGAATGAAAGTCACCCCTGTGATTGAATTTTTTCATGAACAGTAAATTACATTGTATCAATATTATCTTTATAATATACAGTATTTAGATATTTATTGAATTATTTAATACATGAGAATTTCGGGAAATACAGTAACACTGCTCACTTATAAGTACTGTACAACAATGATTATGTTGTTACAACACAGCAATAATGAGCCTAATGACTGATGAAAAAGCAGGATGAAAGATGAAATCACTCACATTATGAAGATGAAAGGTAATCAAACCCAAAAGTAGGAAACTAGAATATTTGGTCAGTCAATGCTTCACTCTAATAGTAATACACTGTAATGTAAAAAAATTACTGATACTGGTGATGTGTGTATTTTTTAGAGAAAGTTTGTCTGACCTCATACATCACTGGTTTTCACACATGATCTTTACTTATGTGGTAGATGAGATAATTCAACCAAGAATGAAACTAGTGCTGGACTTGGATATTCTCCGAATAAGGACAAAATGTCTTTAAACGTATCCCACTGCAGGTCCATATCTTCTCACATGTGACCATCCTACTTCTCAGTGCAATGCTTCCATGTTGGGCCGCATGCCATTGCACCTATGATATAGATGCTAGCCTGGAAAATAGAGGCTATGTTAGTACAAGCTGAACCTCTCTAATCTGGCAAAATTGGGACCCTGAGCAGATCAAGACTATAGAATTTTCTGGTTCATAGGAGTTTACAAAAAAGCTGTATGGTAAAAATTACTGAAGAGAACCAGAATATAATTTATCCACTGCCTCATTACTATGTGCTATCAACTCTTAAGTCATCAGCATACAACAACTCCCAAGGCAGGTAAGTCCCAAGTCCCATGATATTGCTCCCAGAGCCATAATAAATAAAAGGGGGCTCAAATTCCTCACCATTTACTCTCACAGAAGTTTTTGAGCCCTCATATAATGCCAAATTCACTCAAATAAGACACTCCTCAAGTCCTTATTTTCTCATTGCTCACTTTATTAATTCACTTGGTACCCTGTCAAATGCCCTCTCTTAGGTCTACAAATATGTAGTACAGCATCAGCATACAACTTTCTCTTGTTCGAGCACCATTGTGTATGTACAAGTATAACGAACACACCAATACAATATACTACTAAATAACCCTCAATCACAGCAGGGCCTGATGTTGTTGTGTCTAACTTCTTAATTTGCAGACAAAAAGTGTTGTTACAACTTGTTCACTTCCATCCCTCCCTAGAGACGGAAATCCATCACTGGTCAGAGAGATGAGCACACCCTTCCTCTCTCCTTCTTGGTAACTCACAACTATTACTTCCTGTACAGTCCATCACTGGTCTTCAATGGGAACATTCAAGAGCCTGTGCATGCCCAGTACTTGCCAACAGTGCGTAACAGATACGTGACTGATCGCCCAAGAGGCTAACAAGCCAATCAGTGGTGAAGAGGATAAATGCAAAAGTATAACTATTGCTTCCCATCAATTACTGCTGTATATACAGTATTGTACAGATATAGGACCATTCATTCGATATGCTTGGGACCTGGGGGTTACCAGATAAGTAGTTTTTCTGAAATTTGGAGAGCCAGGCCTAAAACAGACTACAAAGCCTCTGTCCAGAAGCTGCTTTAACTGTACACTGTAACATTAAAACTTAAAATTATTTGAGAATGCTAAATGTGGTACTTACCCCTAAACCCAAGATGATGATTATGATGATGCGGACATTCTTCCACCAAAGGCTTCTAGCCAACGTGCGACTTGTAGTTTTGAATGTAACAGCCTGAAAATAATAAATGTAAAATTTTGTATTATCTTGCAGTAATAAAAACTGAGTAAGAGTGTGATACACAGTGATATTGTAACTAGGACCAACAAAGAGGTTCAGAATGCTGCATCTGTTCTCATCATGTACGGTCAGACTGCCATATGGGTCAGAAGCATGGACACTTTCAGCAGACACCAGAAAAGGGTGTCCGGGGAGGCGTCATATGGACTAAACACTCCCTTGAGATTCTGGGAAGGATTGCAAGTGAGCTTTTGGCAGGTAATGTGTCATTAGGGTTGATAGGCATCTGAGAAGAAAAGCCCTAATATAACAACATAGAGAGGACAGGGCATGGCTTGCTCACCACCAATAACACTAAAGTAGGCAGTTACTTGATTATTTCCACATCCCGCCACTGCCATTCGTGAAAAAACAAAAACAATGCGAAGTGATGAGGTAGTGGTGGCAATGGTGTTTGGCCACTGATCCACACCCAGCCCAGGATGGAAGCTAAAGTATGTCGATTGGTGAATCAGAGGCAAATTATTGGTTTGTGCCTTGCTGGCTACAAGGTGTCAGAAGTTGCAAGTATAATAATACATACAGATAATTTAGCTTATTTTCAGCACCAAGGTAACACACAGCAGGTACCTATCTCACCCTCTACTCTTGTAAGATAGATGAGATCCTTTGCAGACATTCATACTAGGACTAGACCTGATTCCTGTATCATTAGGTCACTACAAGTAACAACGGCACCTCAAAGTAGTACCAAAACATCTTCACACCCAGAGAACTGAAAGCATTACCCACAACACCAGGTGGGCTCCTCAAAACACAACAGCAGTTTCTAGGCCTGACATTCCCTCTGACAGTAGATCAGTGACTGATGCTACTTCTGTACAATATTAACTTTGAAATCATCAGACTTCATTTAATAACAAACTGGAAGACTAAACTATGGTCACCAGTTGGAGATACAGACCAACAAAAAAGAATGATAACAACAGTAAAAAGTATTTTGTACAGAAGCATGCTAAAATGCCATAATACAGGTATAGTAAAATACTGTACTCTATAGTTGAGAAACATTAAAAAAAAAACTTACCGAGGTGTTGAGATTTTCTGTCTTGTTTATCAATAGCTCGAGTCTCTCTCCTCTACATGCCAAGTTCTCTGAAATAAGATCCGTGGTGTTAGCATACAAAATAACCAGTATGAAGTCATCATTATACAACTGCAAAACCTAACAAAAGTGCAAATATGTTTACGTGCAACAGTAATTTCTGCAGACAAACATTTAGAGCCAGTAGACAATTCCTATATTAATAAAGTAAAATGCAACTTTATAAAAAAAATACTGTATTATCATAATTTCTTAATGGCCATTTTCCATGCCTACATTATTATGGGTAAAGGAAAAATATACAGTTAAGATCAAACAGTGTGTGTCATAACTCACTATAGATTCAATTTATTGCCACCAATAGATAATATACAGAGCAGTGGGTCCCCAAAGCTAGAAGAGGCTACGGAAATAGACAGTGACTTTCATTTACTACACCAGCAGTCAGGGAGTGAGAAGCCAACCATCAATTAATCAACTTGTGGATTACTGACAACATTAAGTGGAGCTGGCTGGTAAGTGAATTAGGTAGCTAGGTATTTTCTTGTGTCTCATTTATGTTACTGTCTTGTGCATCTTACTAATGTTACTGTGTCTTGTATCTTAATTATGTTACTAATTCTAGCCATTAGTTGCTGTTTCTCAGTACAAACAGTAAAAGCTTACATTTCTGTAAAAACTAACTTACTGAATATCTGTATAAATCTCCAGCTAAATGAATAACCAAGTGAGTGAATAGCTGTTTAAGTCTTCAGCTAGTAAAGGTCTCCATACTATAACAGTCTGATGTTTGTATATGTTTCTACAACTCATTTCATTCAACGACTCCATGAAAATAAACAGTTTAAGAAAATAAGTGAATATATGCTGATGTGGTGTGAATATACAGTATTGATGATGAAGAGGTGAAGAATGTACAGTATTACAGTATTCTGCTGAGGGTTGTGTTACATGTCTAGAGGTAACCCAAGACCTGGCCTGGCATGAGCATGACCAAGCAAAGAGACGAAACTGCTCTACTTCCCATACACTAATGATTTATTGATGTCCATACACCTATTAATTTAATGACTAATTTTACTTTACTAAGCACAAGGAAACAACTACTCACAAAATGGAAGTTCCAGTGTAAAAAAGGCATAGAAAACTTAAACTTTACTCACATGAACATAATTTTCAAGATCCAAATAGAAACATAATATTAAATCATTAAGATATATCTTAATTTATTCATGTGACAGACAACTGCCAGAATTACTGTATTCACAAACAAATCCTTAACTTACCAATATTCTTCACCAGGATATCCTTCACATCACTCACTTCCCCTTGCAGACGTGAGATCTTGTCAATCTCTCGTGACTCTGTGTAGTGCTTCATCTGACTTGCCTGAACCTGAAAAAGGAATCAATAGAATACTACACTATTGAGAAAAAATAATAATACTGTATTAGCAAATACAGTACAGTACAGTATATGAAATTTGGACATGCAACCTGTACTACTATAACACTTGCTGTCTACTTATCATACTGATCTCATGTTCTTTTCATTACATATAAAAAGTCTTTATATGTAGCGATGAGTCAGATGGTTTATGACAAAGCACAAAATAAGCCAAATTAATTTTTTAATGTACAGTACTACAGTACAGTATATAGTACAGAACTGTATCTGAAATAAAAAATTATGTATATTTTTTATATAAAACCAGCTTCCATCAATTCTAATATTTTAATTAAGATAAAAGTTAAAGACAAACATCTTCCAAGAGTGCCACACCATGTGAGGTTGTCAAGCTGTACAGTATTGTGTTTTGTGGCCAAATAAAAGAACCATATTAAAACATGGCATTACCTCTAATAAGACCCTAACCCTAATAATAGTGCTTACAATGTCAATCAATTCCATCCACTATAATTAATAAAAAAAATAAATTCTCACTCATGCCATTCTTGTAACAGTGCTGGAATCCTGAGCAACACCACAGACTGCCTTCATCCTCTCTACCTGTCTTATTATTATTATTACCTGAGCAAATTCGCTGTTCATGGCATAGGGGAGCGCATTGTGGATTCGGGCCCCGTAAGTGGCTTGGAACCTCTGTTTGATGTCTTCCAAGAACAGGAAAGCTCGTTGTCGCTCAAACTCCTACAATAAAAAAAATTAAAATCTTAAAATATGTGGATACAATTTACATTCATTGTATAAAAATTAAGGACTGAAGGATGACATATGATTTAATGTCTGAAGAAATGAAAAGAAAATCTTGTGTGATTCAAGGCAACAAAATATACATTGGCAGAGCCCATCTTTTGCCAGAGACCTTAAAATGTTTATCAACAGGATACACTGCCTAGATAAACAAGGCTAGATAATGTTTTTTTCTGCTTGCATCAGGTATAACTAAACTAGCTGTGTCATGACCAAAATCTACCTTCCTTGATCTGGTGTTTACTTGAGGTCCAGTGAGGCATACAAAATGACCCACAATTTAAACCTACTCTAAACTAATCTTCCAACTTCTAATCTTAGCAAGGGGTGAAGGAATGAAGTCAGGTAATTTTTTTCATTCAAGTCCCATAATGGAACTCTTTACTTCACTCCATCACTTATGACCTGGGAGTCATCATTAAATGACTTCTTGTAAGATTCTGAATGACTTAGGAATGGGAAGTTGGCCAGGTGTCAACAGTCTACTGTAAGCACCCCCAATTAGTAAGTCATCTTCTGTACATTAGGAGAGGTGCCTGATCGTGTGTGCCTCCTACAGTCACTCACTTATAACTTTTTATTAGAATAATTCTTATAAGAACACATAATTGGGGATTTTGTTCTTTGTTATAAATCTGACTTTATATACCGGTATATTCCTCTAATAAAGATAAAATAGATGGTAAAACGTCTTAATACATGTAAGGTAGTCTGGTAATTTGAAGAGGCCAAATGGACTTAATTTCTAATTAGCTGAGAAAAAATTACTACATACAGGAATAATGAATAGGTAACCTTTATGATGTACAGGTACAGTATAATAATAATATTTGATAGTTAAACTGAAAAAAGATGCCTATGTATAGCCATGGTACCTACTTCATCTTCCAAACATAATTTACACACCAGTATGTATTGTACTGGTCTAAATTCATGGGGGGACTTCATTCTTTGTTAAAAATTAAATGGCTTGAGAGGTGATCATCTCTTCCACTTGGGTCTACATCCCTCAGAAAAATCATCATAAGTCTCAAAGCATCAGTTTTGGAGAGAACAAAAAAATTAATAAAACTAACTGAAGCATAAAAGATGATGAGAACAAATCAGATGACCATTACAAGAGATTTCCAAGTGGCAAATTTCATGAAAAGTCTGCTTGGAATTACAGTACAGTACATTGCCTTGAGCTATAGAGTTCCAATACTTCCCCATCACATACCTACTGATTCAACCACACACTTTTTCTTGATCCATAAATACAATACTGAAAACAAGACTCCTCCTTTCTCCTATTTTTAACTCACAATTTTCAATGCAAATGCCAGTGAAACATCCTTTCCCATTTCTCTATAGACAATGTGTATACTGTATCATCTAATACTGTATATACACTTTACTGTATATTTTAGGCTACAATTATTCTTGATACGTACCTAGTTTACTGTATTTTCCCAGACACGCACTTCAAAGAATTACTGGGATATTCTTCACAATCTTTACAGTCATTCTCGTCACCTATTTCTTTTATCCAGGAGATCTATACAAGCTCTACAGTGCTATCTCCATCTACTGGACTATGTTGGAGAGTGCAGTCCATTATATCGAGGCCCAAAAGATGTGAAACCTTTAACTAAAGAACTATATGGCAAGGGATAGCCCATTATATCGAGGTCCGTTAGATGGGAGTAACGGACTATTTTAGTATATGACAAAGGATAGTCTGTTATATCGAGGTTTACTAGATTTGAAACCCCCATCTAACGCACACTATGGGAGAGATGTTATAAGGAGGCTTCACTCTACTGTATGTCATTCTTGGGCTCAGGCTCTTATAGACTCTTTAAGTTATCCTCATATGACTTTTACTTCCTCTTTATATTGTAACTCTGAAAACCAAAATGGTAAAGAGATACTGTCAACTTACATCATCAGTGATACAGAGGTACACCACACCATCTTCAGCCACATAATGGAATAAATATGAACCATGAGAATATGTTAAACGTCCAGACTCTCCAGGTGAGATTTTTGCCAAGATCTGCTCTGTCACCTCGGCAAAATTTCCAGCACACGTTGCATATCGGGCGAGGACTGTTGTGCCTCGGGCAATCACACTGTATAAGAGCGGCATTTCTGAAATACAGAAAATAAAATGCTGTGGAAATGTTTTAACATAGGACATGGATATTAAAAAAGGTTGGGGACTGGTGATGAACGTGCCTCTCACTACAGTGTCCAGGGTCGATTTAGGTCAAATGTGAAAAGGCAATACATGTACTGTATTGCCCCTGGGACACCTTCTTTAAGAGTTAAAGTGGTGATGGGAATGTTTACAGTACAATATCAACCACCAACATCAAAGGTTATTCTTGGTTCAGAAATGTACTATACAGTACGCTAAATGGATACAAAGCCCCAGTTTTCTTGACGTAACTTGTGTAAAAATGGGATTTCCAGGATCAGGCTACTGATATCATTGAGCAATGCATACCGATAAGTTGTCAGAGTGTGTGTGATGGCACCAAGACACCACTGGTACAGGCTCAGATACATTCTGGAATAAGTGCATGCCCAGTACTTACCAAAAAGGTGTAAAAAAAATGTGAATTGACTATCCCCAGTTGCTAACAGGCCAATAACTGGCAAAGAGGATAAAATTATGAGTGTGTGAGAGTGCACAAAAAAAACAACTATCAATGCACTGTGATAAGATAACTAAATTACCACACTATTTTTGTACCCTGCATTAATCTGACTATGGAAAACTTCATCCCGTTGTTCAGCTGAGTTTTTTATATGAGAAAGGAGAATGAGTGAATCAAAAGAGGACATGGCAGATGGTTTTATAATTAGTCAATGTAAAAAAAAGTATATGAATCATTAAATAAATATACCATATTATAGTACTCTTTACTAATTTTTTTTAAGTAATATCTATTTATATTGACTGTCCAGTACAGTACAAGGTATTGATTATCATTCATGCTTGGAACTGGAAACAAACTGGATTTAGGAATTTTCCAATTTTTTTAAATAATGGTTGACTTGGATTATACATAGAATATTAAATAAAGTCTGGGAAATATGCCAAAGGTTTTAACTTTGTAATAACAAATTTAGAAAAAAATGTGAGTCTACCCTCAAGTCAACTCCGTACTCTGTTATTAATATCATCTTTAATAACAAAGCACAGAATTCACTTGAGAGTAGACTCACATTTTTTTCTAAATTTGTTGTCTTGTTTCTGAATTATTTGTGAGAACATTTTCCCATTATTATTTATTTGTATGTGTAGACACACACACACACACACACACATACAAAACAGGTAAAAGAAATTACTGTCTCTAGAATGAATGGCTCCCTGTCTCAGCCGTGAAAATGCCAGCAACTTTAAAAACTACCCTTAGACTTTCTTGGGTACATCCAGGGTGGCATCCGCGAATAATCGAGGTCCGTGAATTAAAAGTCTGTAAATTGTCAGGGCATGCCGTACCAAGATTACTGTGTCCATTACATTTTAAACTTTCTCATACTATCAACAAAGTAGAAGTACTAATGTATATAGCAAAGACACTACCAGGAGTCACATTTTCAACACCCAGTATATCCATTAAGCAGACAAGATCAAAGCTTTCACAATACAGTACAGTAGTTTAGTTTTCAAGGAATACAGACTCAAATGTAAAGTTCTGATTTATTCAGTTCATTTTTAACTCCATATTTCCTTCTACTGCATGCATAGCTTTGCCCACTAAAAGATTTAACCCCTTCCCACTGGTGTATGGAATCTGTAGGGAAGACTGAACAAGAGGAAAAGCCATATCCACCAGCTTCCAACCTTGATGATCAGTGGCCTTGCTAGCTCGTCATCAGTCTGAGCTCTCATTGTCACCATCAGATCATCTATGTTCATATACTCATTATTATCAGCATATGATTCATCCTCACTAGACATTGGGGGAGGGAGGGTTAAAAAAAAAAAAAAAAAGAAACTGGAAATGATGAACAAAATGTCCCAATTATAAACAGTGGAGCAATGGCATCTTAGCACCTGCCTGTGTATTATGTTCAGGATGGAAAATTTTAAAATTATGAAAAAAGTTTTCCTTGTAAACTTTTTGGCCTTCTTGAGGAATAAAAAAACAAAACAAGACTGATATTGATGACTACACAGTGGATGCGTTATTTGTTTTGATGTTTATATGCTTACAATAGTTTCATCAGTAAGTTCTGATATGCAGTACTGTAATAATATTTTTTCGGGGGCTGGGTTAGGTTAAGTTGAACATTTAAATAAACACTTAACACATTTTCCATAACTACGACAGTATTCAATATAAAACAGTGAAATAACAGCATTTTAAAATTTGTTTTCTATGAAAAACTAGCAGCAGTGTAGTCATCAATAATTACCAAACACAAACATTAAATTTATTATTTTACCATCTACCATCTTACTTAGTCATTCAAGCAGTTGGTCTGTTCTTTGTTACTTTGTTATGAAATTAATTGCCCATCGTTAGTACAGGAGGAAACTGGAGTACCCGGAGAAAATCTGTGATGTTCAGTAAGGTCACACAGGATAATACCCTTCCTGCATCTGCCCCAAGGTGGTACTCACACCCACGACACAGTGGTGAGAGATACATACATACTGTACTTTATCGCTGTATCATCAACACCTGATACGTGCCTGAACCAGCAACTTGAGAACCTTTCTCCAAAGAAGATAAATGCTTTCGTGCCCCACGAGAAAGGCAAAAAGTGGATGAGTTCTGACACCAACACTCCTCTGTTTACTGTACATTGGTGCTTCTGGAATTTTTCATCAGTTACTTTCAGACAGAATTATTATTTGGCTGATCAAGAGTATTTGTACCTAATGGTGCAGATACTGCACATGTTATTTGCACCCAAATCCTAACCAATCCAATCTAGCCACAGGTGCTATTTGCACCTAAAACAAACAGAATAATCTAACCTATTGATGAAAGTAAAATGGGCAGGCAGCTGGTTTACCCAAACATGTCATAATATTTGATTACTAAATACTCACAGCTGGACAGTCCAGTGATGGGTGGCTAATAACGTGCGAAAAAGGTATCCGCTTTGTTGGAAGTAAGTACTGTATCCAAGTCTTTATTTTTTCATAGAAAATTATAACTATTATCTTTGGTTAGTTTAAGTAGATTAGGGTGTCAATATTGTCTTTTCTTACATTATTGGGGTGGTGGGTATTGACCAGCAGTTTCCAGTACCGTAGTTAATGGTGGAATTGTTCACTAAGGTTAAGGACAATTTTTTTTCATAAAATGAACCATAACCTAAATTAATAGTTACTTATTCTATTATCATTTAAATATTGCCTTCTGTGAAAACATATGTCCTAAAGTTTCTGGTTGAGGTAAGCAACAGTTGTAAAGCAATGCCTTTATCTTCAATACACACATGTCGTGAAGTTGGTGGTTCAGGTGTGACACTGTCCTACAACATTACCCAAACTTTTGGGGTTTTTCATGAGGTAAGAAAGCATTTATTTTTTATAGAGAAATTTAGTGTTGCTGGTTTAGGTGCGATATTGTCTTTCAATATGGAATTATTTTAGTTTCGGTCATCCGAGGAATCTTAGGAATTTAACTCTAAGAATTTAACTACTGGACTTACATAGGCGGGGGGGGGAGGGGCAGTTAGGAGGTTAGGCCAGGTCATTTGCGAGAGAAAAGTCACAGAAGAAAGGTGTCTTAGAATTGTCTAAACTACTGATTCCAATAGTTAAAATCCTAAGATTTCCCAGATTACCGAAACTAAAACTTTACCTTCAATATTACGTTAAATACCAACTGATAAACACAGTCTTTTCTAAAATACGACCGGTAACTTCATTAAACAATACACGAAATGTAGAGTATTAATTCGACATGATATTGTTCAAAAACATCCTTCAGAAAGCTACCGATACATCACATAGGATACCTCGAAAAAGGTTCACTTTCCACATATGACCGTGACACGAGAGTCCTACATAATTGCGCCGAATGAAGTGCACATACAATATGATGTCCAAAGTAAACAACTATATCCTCGATTTATCTCTTCCAACACAATAATTCTCACTTTTACGCCTAATGTTTTGACCTAAGCCTTCCAATAACACCTCACAGCACAACCACGCAATACATTACCTGATATCACACTAGGTTGTCCAGGTATTCACGCTTGGAAATTGTGAACGAAGGACAAGAGGATGCGTCACCACCCTCCCTGCCTCAGACTTTGTTTACTGGAACGAAATCATATGGTCCGTCTCCGAAAGTGTTCACTGGCTTTGGCTTCTCCTTCCCTGGCTTGTACGTCATACACATTTAATCTACATAAAAAATACTTAAAGCATTAAACTAATATTTAAGTAATGTAATTTGATTATAAATTCTATTGCTTTTTACTGAAATAAATTACTTCTGAATAATAATAATAATAGTGACCATTTCCAAAAAGATCAAATGCGGCGTAGTACCATCAATGTCACATGCGAGGGTGTTCATTGGTCAGCGACAACAACCAATCACAAGCCAGAATTAAAGGCAGGCCTGTAAAAATATTTTACATTCGCATTTTATATACTTAATGATATTGTCATGCGTCATATTATTATGCTATCCTAACAAGAAATATAATTTTTCTTATAAGGGACAAACGTGAACATTCAGTACTTGCTAGTGATACAGAATAGCCCCTGTACTTATGTCGTGACTCACTCCTAATAAGTCATCGAACACCACACACTGCAGGAACCGCTGGGCACAACCTATTGACAACAGCCAGTTTGAAAAGTGATTAACTTAAGTTAATGTAGAGAAATAAATGTTTTGTTTAAGGTATAGGATCTTATTTACAATCCTAGGAGCTTTACACTTTATATACGTTAATTTTTTTGCACGACAAATAGCCGTCTTTAACTCGTAACTGGTGGATTAAAAGAAAAAAAAAGTATATATATATATATATATATATATATATATATATATATATATATATATATATATATATATATATATATATATATATATATATATATATATATATATATATATATACATATATATATTTTTTTTTTTAAGTGATTTTGCCGTGGTGACATGATTTTATATTAATTGTTTTGTGTCACAGTTCAGTGAGTTTAGATAAGTTATCATATCTGTTTTGGGGTTATTTTAGATACAGTATACTGCCACTGTCATGGTACCGTGAGTATGGATGGTCACAATTAGCAGCAAAACTGGACATTGACCTAACCCTTCCCAGACAGTGTGGTTGGTAAAAACACTGTTCATATGTCAATGGCTCAACTATATAAGAATATTTTCGCACATCAGTCTATATACCATATTTGGACGCCATCAAAACTTCATTAGAAAGTCTATTTGCTGCTGACACTAAACAAAATTTTTTTCTGTATTCACTTGATCCACTGCAAATGACAAAGCTTACAGGAGAAGAATTCATGAACCAGATTGCAAAGATCATTAAACTGCAAACTTTCAAGCTGAATCAACCACTTGAGGTAAAATTTGGCCTCGACAAAACAAAAAACGAGATGGCCGATTTTGAAGATGGAAATCAGGACTTCCATAAAAATACTGACCTGATCCCTTCTCTTAACTATTGTACTGTAATTGTTTCATGTTACTCCCCTTCTTAATGATATTCACATAAACTTGACGTATCAATTTCAGTATGAAGTACAGTAATAAATCTGTTATAATCTTCAAAAAAAAAAAAAGCCAACCAAACCCAATCACCCTATTGCTCCTGCCTGGAAAACTCTGCTTGAAGGAAAATGAACAGAAGAACCTTTGAGGAGTCACCTGTGTATCGTAGCATAAGTAAGTGAGATAAATAAATACGCTTTTATAAATTGCGAGGGAGAGAAAATGTCTTAACACAACGCTCCTCTGTGAACCCGGATGAAGGTCTATATATTACTCTTATCTACCTGATATACTGTAGTGAGTATTGGAGGTTGTGTGTGTGTGTGTGTGTGTGTGTGTGTGTGTGTATGACTCAGTGTGTGTGTGTGTGTGTGTGTGTGTGACTCAGTGTGTGTGTGTGTGTGTGTATGACTCAGTGTGTGTGTGTGTGTGTGTGTGTGTGTGTGTGTGTGTGTGTGTGTATGACTCAGTGTGTGTGTATGTGTGTGTATGACTCAGTGTGTGTGTGTGTGTGTGTGTCCTTCAGTATGGTCACATAATCTGTTACATCCACAACATGATTTGACGTCGACCACAGGAACCTAACCATTAAGATTATAACACTGGACACACTCTGTACTTCCTGGCTCTCAGTGGTGTTGATCGGTGATATGTCTTAACTCTATATACTGCACTGTGTAGGATGGCCTCAAAAGACTGGAATATTTACATAACCTTAGTAAATCCAGTGATAGAATCAAGCAGTTCAAAAATAAATGAAGTGGGAATCATCGGAATCTATTTGGTGTTACTTGATAGCACAAAACAAACGTGAGCTAACAATAAGTGTGTGCTACAAGGCTGATTCTGACATTAATCACCACACAAACAGTTGCGGTCATGAAGAAAGTCTCTAATCCACGCCAGGACGTTCTCTTGAATTCCGTGTCCTTCCTAACAGAGCGGATCTCACTGAGGCATCTAAAATCTTGAAAGGGATGGAAGACGTGAGCCAAGATCAATTTTTCATGATGTCTCGCGCGAACAACACATCACGGCACAACTTCAATGAGTGATGCAGGACGAATATAAGGAAATAGTTCTTCACACACAGAGGATGGTAGACCTACGGAAGTGAGAACAAGACTTAAACAATGGAGGGATCCTACACATACCATTGGCATTCTTCCCTCGACATATCCACCTTTATTTAGGATGGCCATTAGGTGTGTAAATAACTAAATAATTATGAAGATAATGAAGGTAATATCGATACACGTAAGAAAGTCTACGGTTAGATTTATCGTTTTCTTTGTGCAGCTGACTTTAACGTCTCTATGAAATATCTTTTTTTGCAGTAACTAAAGTAAATGAACACCAAAGTCGATTTGATTTGAAATACAGCTAACTACAAAATTTGATGTAGTACACGTATACATACAGTATATAAACATTACCAAGCATCGTTGTTTATTATTATTATTATTATTATTATTATTATTATTATTATTATTATTATTATTCAGAGAGGTATAAAAAAGTACAAGTAATCTGACAAATATGTACTCAAGTTATAAGTAAAAGTACTCTTCCTAAATTGTACTTCAGAGAAAGATAAAAGTATCTAATCCCATAGTGACCAGTTCTGCTGAGTTCTGAAACATGCTGAATATTATATCGCATCATTGCCTGTGTCAAAATTTCCGCCTTAACTTGCCAACTAACGCTCAAAACTGACAATAAATTCTAGTAGTCAGAATTGCAAATGCTCGGAGGCTGAAGACGTTGAGAATGATAATTTCGAGTATTTAGTAGAAGGAATTGTCGTAGTGAGGAGAAATAGGGGATAGTGGAGGAGGAACTGGGAATATGGAGAAGAGGAATGGATGGTTAGAGGATGAAGAGAGAGAGAACGATAATAACGATAATGATAACAAGAGAGAGAGAGGGGGAGGAGAAGACTGGGTGATGAATGTGGGGAGGGAAAGGTTATGAGAGGGGAAGGAGGAGGGAGATGAGAGGTACAGGAGGGAAAGTTCGAGGAAAAGAAAGGGTGGGTGGTGTTGATGATGATGGTGGGAGGGGAAGTGATGGTGGGGGGTGTTGAGTGGAGGGTGTTGATGGTGGGGGTGTTGATGGTGGGGGGTGTTGATGGTGGGGGTGTTGATGGTGGGGGTGTTGATGGTAGGGGGTGTTGATGGTGGGGGGGTGTTGATGGTGGGAGGGTGTTGATGGTGGGGGTGCGATGGTGGGGGGGTATGATGGTAGGGGGTGTTGATGATGATGGTGGGGGGTGTGTTGATGGTGGGGGTGTTGATGATGATGGTGGGGTGTTGATGGTGATTCTCGGGGTGTTGATGGTGGGGGTGTTGATGGTGGGGGTGTTGATGGTAGGGGTGTTGATGATGATGGTGGGGGGTGTTGATGGTGGGGGTGTTGATGGTGGGGGTGTTGATGATGATGGTGGGGGGTGTTGATGGTGGGGGGTTGATGGTGGGGGTGTTGATGATGATGGTGGGGGGTGTTGATGATGATGGTGGGGGTGTTGATGGTGGGGAGTGTTGATGGTGGGGGTGTTGATGATGATGGTGGGGGTGTTGATGATGATGGTGGGGTGTTGATGATGATGGTGGGGGTGTTGATGGTGGGGGAGTGTTGATGGTGTGGGGGGTGTTGATGGTGTGGGGGTGTTGATGGTGGGGGTGTTGATGGTGGGGGGTGTTGATGGTGGGGAGGTGTTGATGGTGGGGGGTGTTGATGGTGGGGGTGTTGATGGTGGGGGTGTTGATGATGATGGTGGGGGTGTTGATGATGATGGTGGGGGTGTTGATGGTGGGGGAGTGTTGATGGTGTGGGGTGTTGATGGTGTGGGGGTGTTGATGGTGGGGGAGGGTGCCTCTGCTTTGTGATTCTATCTGGGCATTATTGGTTACTAATGGATGGGCTTTCCTTCTGCTAACGGAATCACTGTAAATTTCTGGAAACTGTTTGGGATTTTCCATCGTTTTTCGTAATTATTTACCCTTTCTAATTCCCGCATGGTGTTGTCGACATGTAACGCTCGCGATTTTCCTTGATGTGTTTTGTTGTGATGTCATCTGCATACATAAATTCTTCGTTACCTATTTTAGTGAGGCTTGTATAGATATGATATTAATTTGCCTCTTACAGCTGCTACTTTATTGTGCACCCCACACTCATAATGTGAGCGATAGCGCAAAGGATTACAAAGTAGAGTTTACAACGGGTCATTAGTAATTAACCTCCGTTGTCAGGATTTATGGAACTGAACGTTTCATAGTATTTCAATTACATCATTTGTTTAGTTCTATATAAAGAGTAACTCATTCACAAATGTGAGTACAGGCGTGTGAGGCAGTGTGTCTGGCCTCACACTTTGTTATTCACATTTGCGTGAGAAGTATTCAACACATTGTGTATTTGGTTCTATACATGAGAACTGATATAGTTACTAAGTGCAAAAAGTGGATACACCTTATATATGTCGGCTATCTTGCCATCAGAGCTGAAGTGTTGTGCCATTTCACACACAATGTGCTTGGACTTGTCCTCTAAAGGTTCTATCTTCACACAGTCGAGGACGTAGTGTTCGAGTGTATGGCTATATGTCTGGCCACACACTTTACAT